AACTACATTTTCACCGGGTATTTAATTTTATTTCTAAGCTTCAAAGGGAAAGAGCACCGCAACGGGTGAGATGATCACCTCGTGCAGAGAGTTGTGATGGGTTGAGAACTGGACATCCAAGTCCAAGTCCAAACACCACTCCGTGCTCCGTCATTATTAAACTTTAAGTAGAAAACTACATTCCTCTGGCTTAGAAACGTTTCTCGGAACCCTTATGGGCTCTCTCCAACCAGATATTACTGCCAATATTCTTTAAATACTCGAATGAATGGGATTCAACGGTTGGGAAATCTTCAGTGCACAGTAGAATCGGTAAAGGACGTTGTTCTCTCGAATAAACAGAGAAGACTGTTCGAAGAGACTAGAGAGCTGGACTATTCAGAAGAAATTGTTAAGTTATTAACTTCTAAAGACACATTGTGCAGAAATGAATCTACAAATAAACAAATGATTATTCTAAATATTCAACTTCAGATTACCACTTAGTCGTCCATTCATCGGCATACACTGAGCAAAAAGTAAAAAATCAAAAAATAAATCGAAATTGAACTCACGTTTTCTTCACGTCTCGTCTAAACTTCGGAGAGATGCCGCCTGGGTCCGACTTCATCTGGCAGGGCAGAATAGATCGCTCGACAATACCAACTTTGCTTTCTTCTGGTGTGGCAGTGACCCAGCCCTTGAATTTCCGCCTATAAAGAGAAATCAGAGGTTTGATCTGCACGGGTATTGATCGGATCAATACCAAAACGAAACCAGGATATTTATTTATTGTTACCTTGGTATCGATATCGATATTGATATAGGATATTGATCTGGGATTTAAGTGATGGTGCTGTACACAATGGTAGAATCTACCTTAGTAATCTTTACTTCACTTGCTGTCTAATAAAGCTTGTACTACAAGATCCCTTGCCATTAGAGTAGCCTGTACAGTTACAGCAAGCTCCGATACATTCACTATGTTGGTTGAGACATTGTGACACATTGTTTCGTCTCCTAACATTTCCTCTCCCACACATTTTTGAACCGTATCCGAGAAAATGTACCACCGTCCAGTTATTGTCAAGGAATCGATAATTTAATCATTTTGCTATCTTACCCACCTGATTGAAAAGAGCTAGGAATACTGGAGATCAATATACGGCAGGATACAAAGACTGGGCAGGTTGGCGTAGGCATGCTTTGAAAGTGAAGGAGACCGGTTGGGCATGGTTGTCACGGTGGCGCAGCGGGTAGCGCGGGCGTTATGGCGCTCGCGACGCTGGCTCAATGCCTTGCATCTGTGGATGATGAGAAATTGTTAGGGACATCTGCATTGTCAGTGATGATTTAACGATAGTAGTTCAGACACAGCTTTTAGAACTCTTTCCAACCGACTTATCTAAAATTGAATGGGTTTCGGAAGAAGGGGGGTGCAGTGGGATTGAATCTTACCCATGCTAACGAAACGAACTAGACTTTTGCAAAGAAGGTCGAATCGGGAGACAATTCCCTGGAAACTTTCTTGGTCTCAAAAAGGGTACGGGGTCGTTCGTAGGTGGTTCCGAATTTCACCCACACAGGTATGGGATGGTATGATCGAAGGTCGAGTAGGTAGCTACTCAACAGCAACCTCAACGGCGAGCTGCAATTGCGTTCGACGAGGTGCTACCTCTATGATCTTGTAACTCAGGTTTAACATTGGAATCTACCATTGCCATACCTAAAATCGAGATTCATATCTAACCATAGGGAGCTGATAAGCGATTCGCGGAAGAGACCAGTTTTACAAGTGAGAGTAAGGTTCATTCTTGAAGTCCATGGTTCTCTGAGATGCCATCTAAGGAAGCAGGCGCTGAAGCGCCGGCTCCTAACACCAAGGTTCATGTGGTAAGCAGCTTCCTTTAGTGTTCGGTATTCTGTCACGATATCTAAATTTGAAGAGCGTTCCCCTAAACAGTGACCATTCAGAATCCTGCGAAACAGAAAGGAGGAACGCCACCAGAAACCTCTTCAGTGCGTTCCAAATTTTCTCCATATAGATCTGACTTGGAGGAGAAATTCAGAGAAACACTTGAAAAGATGAGATCGAAGTCTTTCGACGACGTGAGTCGATGCTCATTTCCAAGTTTTTTTGGGACCAGTTTTCTATAAAACAAGAGCCAATCCTTTTCCGATGGGGGATCACCCTGCAAGAGCCACCTCGTTACGCGTGCTCATAGGTTAGATGATGATGGTAGATGGTCTGTTGGATCCGAGTAGGTGGTTATGAAAGGGCAATCTTCACCCCCAGAACTGCTTCCACGACCGCCTTCTTAGCAGATAGATTTGAAAATGAAAGTTCTGGGTTGTTCGTTATGCAACCGGTATCAGACCTCTGTAGAATTCATGATACCAACGAAAAAATGTGATAGCTTCCGCTGGAATCGCTAAGCGGCGAGGCGGCGGCTGTCGTGAACGATTTAGGTGTGGACCCACCCCAGTCCAGAGAGAGCTACCTTTCGATTTCTGCACTTTTTCCATACTGAATACCTACATTTTTGATTTCAGTTCATATACCTACCCGATGAGATTCCAACAGCTCGAATTTTTGGGACAGTACAATGTTGCTTCAAAAAGAAGGTGCTCGCGTTTTCTTGTGTTCAGTA